AAAGGAAAGCCCAGCCATTCTTTGGGGTGTCCTTTTTTTTGAGGGCTCCTTTTTGGGAAACCACTATGAACACCGGCTCTTTTTTTTTTTTGGGGGGGGGGGGACAATCTAAAAAACGGCCCCACGCGGAGTCTCCATGGGCTGGCCCTTTAAACACGAGCCCATTGTATCACCAACACCGTTTGAAAAACCACACACACACACACCATGACCCCATGTTCTGAGGGTTATCACCAAAAACAAGGGAAAACACCACACCCCCATGGTTCTAAGAAAAATGGTCAGAAGCAGTGTCCCACACACCCCACCGCTGGAGGTGCCGACCAGGGCTCTCGAGCTCCAGCTCCATGCCGGCGAGGCGGGCCGAAGGGTCAGGCGTCATCGGGCCGGGAGGCGGGAAAAGAACCTCACCTGGGGGTAAGTTGGGAAACCCACGTGGGCTCAAAAGAGCTGGTCTCAAAAAAGATGGTCTCAAGGATTGGGGGTCAGTTGGGACGACTGTTTCTTTTTTTTTTTTTTTTAAATAGAAACCATGGCCAAACATGGAGTGGGTCTCAGAATGGGGCAGCCACCTGGTTGTTTTTTGGGAAACCATACCTTGGAGTGGGTATGGGATAGTCTTGACCCCATAATAATCAACCCCTGTTTATTAATATGGGGGTGTCCAGCTGGGTTTGGTGGGGAACACCACTTTTGGAGCCCCCCCCCCCTTTCCGGGGTTGATTTTTTCCGGGCTCAACCTTCGGGGGTTCCCCCGTCTTGGGACGGTGGGGGCTCATCCATTCTTTTTGGATTTTACCGGTGGGACGCCCAGCGCAAACGGGGGAAAAAAAAAACCTGGCGAGCTTTTGCTCTCGAGCCAACTTGGTAGCCCAGGTCTCGGGTGGCAAAAGCCAGGGAGTAGGTCCGTTGACGTCCCTAGGCTAGGGGCATGTTTTTTTTTTTTTTTTAATGAATCACATGTAATTACCAGCCTTTGCAGGATCCCTAAAGGTGGTTCTTGGTCGTGTTTTTGAAGAGAGCCACAATTAAAACCGATTCGGGTAGATGAAGGTGAGTAAGGGACGATCCCAACCATAAATAGCTGCGGCTATCCGCCTTCTGAATCCTTTACATGGTTCTGGGTAGACCATTTTAGTACCAGGTGTTGATTGCGACTCCTAAGAGACCCTGTTTGGTCGCCTCGCAAATCCTCGCAACTTGCCGGGTTTCACAGGCCTGTCCAGCCCGGAGCTGACCCCACAGCCGACCAGGCCGGTTCGCGCCTGTGAGCTGTCCAGCTGGTGGTTCCCTCTACCTCCTCTGGGTCGTTCCAACCCCCCCCCCCCCTGCTAGGAGCACCACTTGGGTGCGCGTCCAAGTTAGGAAGTGGGTTAGTAACATGGGTAAGAACCTGCTTACAACCGGCCCAGCTCACTCATAAGTAGGTTGTAGCCTAGGTAACTGACCACTTACTAACTTGGCCGAGCACCCAAGCAGCAAGGCTGGGTGTTTGCCTTTCGGGGAGACACCGAGGAACTTCCTGCGATTTTTTCCGCAGAATCCTATGAGCAGCGGTCAACATTTGTTGTCCTCGGTGCGAAAGAGGGTGACATGTCTCACCAAAACTACTAAAACGGCTCATAAGCTGCCCATTCCCTAAAGAACGTGTCAAAAGAGGGCGACCCGAAAACATCGTTGGGTCTTCCTTTGGGTTTCCCTGTGCCTGTTCAAGGGATCTTTCTGGAAACCCAAGGAAGCCCAGGATGAATAAACCCTTGCTTGATCAAAGCGGATGGACGAACTTTTGGCGCCATCCGCACCAGCTAAATACCTTATCAACCAGTATGCCCATCGGGTTTCCATCCATTTCAACTGGAGACATTTGTGCATCCACAGGTGGATTCCCATCTTAAAGGGTTAGTCTGAACTGGTCCAAGTAGTTGTTTTTGTTTGTTCTCTTTCGGCACTGGTCCGGGACTTGAGGGAAACGCGCCGTTGGAAGGGATTCGTCAACTCCCTCTCGAGAGTGTTCGTAAAACGAGCCACACTAGTGGGAGGGAGCCCTTGGTTTGCATTGGTTTCCCTGGTAGTTGTTTTTCCTTCTTTTTTTTGTGATAGCCTTTAGAATGACACCAAGAACGTGCGCTGAAAGGAAGACATACACACCTGTGGTTCTTGCACATCGGAAAAGCTGACTGCTTCCGAATGGACTTTGGGGCCTCGGAACCGCGGGGACGTGGGCGAGTCTTTTATGGGAAACAACTGCAAAAAGGGCCACCCATAGCAGGGTTGGACCAAGCCCCTTGTTGAAACATGTGTTTAAACCACGCTTCTTTAAGCAGCATCCTTTTGGCTGACCTTTTGGGCAGGTTGCTTGATTTTACTTTTCCTCAACCCCGAGTCTCCGATTTTTGGGGCGCGTTTGGGTGAGAAGATGCAGGTCGTGGTGAGCGTGAAGAACATGCAGACGGATGGCAAGATCTTCATCCGGATCCACAAGTCCGCGACCATGGCAGACGTCAGAGCACTCAGCTCCCCCCAGCCTGGGACGAGTGGAGGGATCCTTCTGGAAGGCTTTTGAAGTGAAGATGGGGCCCGGCCCAAAAAGAGGGAACTGGTTTGGTGGACACTTCTTGGTGGCTCAAAGGAAGCCATCCCCTTAGCCTTTTAGATCTTCTTAGTGTTTTTCGTGAAAAGTTAGTCACTCTTGGCGGGGGATCAGAAAACAGGCAGCCCAGACTTGGGGTCAAATGGTTTTGCAGCCATATGGACACAGACGCCTGGCAGTCCATATCCGTTGCAAACACCGCAGCCAGCACCTGGTCAGAGAAGGGCCGGCCATCCATGAAGCAAGGGGCTGGCCCAAGCTGTTGGATGGTCCCTTTCAGACCTCAAGTAGGATTTCTCCTTGGCATGCCCAATTTGTCAAGGGATGGCAACCTTTTGATGGTGGCAGAACCAACTTGTCAACCATCCTGTGTTAGGCAGCAAAAAAATCGAGCCTTTGGCGACCAACACCACCATCCCTTTTGGGGAAGGCTATTTTTTTGGGCAGGGCGGTGCCACCTTTCTATTGGCGACCAGCTAGTTTGGCTGACTCACTCCAGCCTCACTCGCAAGTTCGCTGCCCCATAGCTGCCAATGAATCCACACCAATGCTGGTCGATAAACCGGCAGTCCAGGCGGGTGGATGTTGAAACCCGATGTGCATAATGTTGACCCCATATCAATCAACCCCAGTTCGTTACATTCGGGGGCTGGTTTTTGGGCCCTCCAAAGACATGTCTGATTCCAACCACATTTCACCCAAAAATGGGGTTACCCTCCCCCAAAAAATAGTAAAAGGAGAATTCAAAGAATTATTCTTTCTACTATTTTTTTCCAACAGCAACACAACAAACAGAAAACAAAATCCAGAACAACAAGCAAACAAAATAAATAATCACAACCAGCAACAAAATTATTTAATCACAGCATACAACATTAAATAATTCAAACAAGCATACCAACAAAACAGCAACACTCTAAATCATCAAAGACACTCAACTCAAAAACACACATCAACAAAAATCAAAGCAACATACCAACAAAAAATATCATAAGAGTATCAAACAAAACAAAAACAAGCAGCCAAAGCACGAAAAAATCAAAGAAGCATGCCAAGTCTAAACAACGCACTTTGAAAGAGATAAGCAAATTAGGAAAATATAATAATTCAATCTTTACAAACGATAAATATATTACAATTATAACATATAATAGTTTACATGTGATAATCATAGTATGAGTTCAACTTTATTCTAATTAATTTTAAAATTCTCTTTCAATTCGTTTCACTATTTTATCAACTGTTTTTTCATTATACATATTATTTCCTATTTCTTTTTATAAACACCTTCATTACACTAATTGCATGTCTTGCTGTGTATCTAAGTTCGTGAGCTTCATACTTACAATTTAAAAACTCATTTACAAAATCAAAGTCATTATCATTCAATGCTTCGTATTTTAAACGTTTAATGCTAAAAGACATATTGTATAATCTTTTTACCAGGCTATAATACTTATAAATAAAACCATTCACATATCCATTATCTAATAAATTATCAAATTCTATTTCAGTCAAGAACTTATTCATTTCAATAAAAACAAATATTTCTAAATCATCATCAAGAGTTTCAGCATTTCTAGTATCAAAATCTCTGTTGTTCATATCATCAATTTTGTTTATAATTCTATTACAATTATCACATATCATACATTGACAAATATTATTACTAACACCATCTATAAAACCCTGTTGAATTGTTAACTTTAGCATCCCACAGTCTTTACATTTGTAATTCATAAACTTTTGTTTCAATATATTTTTAACATCAATATCTTCATGGACAGTATCACTAAATTCACTATACACACTTTCTACATCACTATATTCACCATATTCACTTTCTGTATCACTCATTTGTATCTCAATATATTAAGTCAATATTTCTTTAAGTCGTTTTCAAAGAATTTATTTTATAATGGCCGTAAGCAAGTGAGTTTACACTATCTGTCCAATATTTTTTGTTTTCATAACTACTAAGAGCAATTTTTTTAGTTGTTATACTAAAAATTCTGTGGTTTTTACTTCTAATACTATTAAATGACTTATGTATAACCTCATTAGTTTTTAAAACCGTCTCAAACTCTTCATATTTCATTTGACGTCTTACTGTGCCTTTTGCTATCCCTTACATTTCTTATATTTTTTATCATCACCATAAACTGAGTAAGCATAGCATTTAGGACGAAGGGCTATAAACCCTGTTATTATTTTACTTTTTAATTCATCCTTAAATTTCCCTAATACTTTCTTGTTATTCTCATCATAACATTTATGTTCCTTAGGATAATCTGAAAAATCTAATTCTTTTTTAATTGTATTCAGGTCTTCATAAATGTCATTGGTTTTAGTATGAAATACAAAACTATCAGTATCAGTATATACCATTTTAATATTATCTCCATATTTAGGCTTCATAACGTCATAATAAAAATTATACATGTGTTGCTTACTCAAATCTAAAATACTCATCCCAATAAATATAGGTTTGTCTAGTTTCAACTTTGTTTTTTGCTTTTCAACTCCAACCAAATTTTCATTAATGATATGACTATGTTTGAAGTTAGGATTACTTACACACTTCATATATCTAGTTTCATCACTCACAACCTCAAAATCTAAATGTTTTCGCTTATCCTCCATTGTTTTTCCAAATATGGCATTGTTCATCAATTTATAAACATCTTTCTCAAAATCATTTCTAGCATTCTTCCTCTTCTCTGTGTTAAACTCAATGTAAGGTTTTAAAACTTCTTTTTGTTCAAATTTAATTGCTCTATGAATTTTCTTAAGTTTTAACCCTTGCTTCAAATAAAATTGTAAGGTTCTTATATGGATTACATATTTTTCTTTATCATTTAAATTCAATACTAATTTATTTGTTTTCTCATCCGTAGGTTTTTTATGATTTAAAAATTCATAAATTTCAATTTGTTTATCTGACAGCATGTTGGCTTTAACATTCATAACCTCAGGTGCCATTGGATAGTCATTGTGTAAATCGTGTAATTCTTTAGGATATTCTAAATCCACTTCTAGAATATATCCAATATTATTATTCTTATAATTAATAATGTCTTCTTCTTTTAATGTATCATCCCATTTTAGATTTTTATATGGCAGTTTTTGTATCATGCTTAACCCGTACAAATTATTAGCATCAAAATAGTTAATATAACTACTTTCTTTATTTTTATCATATTCTTCTCCCATGTATTTATTATTTGCTTCAACTTTTTTAGTAGAAACCATACACATCCCGCCTCTAAGTCCCGCTTCTATCATTTCATACATTTCTTGGTCATATATTAAATCAATCTCTACACCAGTCATTTTAAGCATAGCATCAAAAGCAAAGTTAGGCAATGTATAATAATAAGCAGGGTCCAATCCATAATATTTCATACATACATCTCTAAAATTTTCGAAAATGTCAGTCAATAATAATACATCAGTTTTCAAATATAAATCATGGTATTCACCCATATTCTTAATGTCGAAATGCTTCCATATAATTTTTGCCCTTTCATAGTCGTTAACACTTATACCTTCTTCACTCAACTGACTATAAAAATCATCCTTACTCGGTAATTGCTCATCATCAAATTTATCAAATGAATTCATGTAGTCATAAGGATAAACGCCTTTATCAGTTAATAAATCTAGACATTTCTCACTCTTAATCAAATCATTTTTACTACTGAACCTAAAATTATCTTTCCAGTTTTCACGCAATAACCATTTACTTTTATCTTCTTCATCTGTATTGTCATACTTACTCATTGAAACTAACTTATCTAATGAAGCAGTTAAAAACCCAAAAGTGTCTTTAACACTCAAACTTTCAAAACTGATATTAATAAATTTTTCACTGTTCTGAGCGATGACACCTATTTTATTGTTGTTACTTAATTTATCCGCATTTTGAATAATTAAATGACCATCATAATTTTTCATGTTATGGAAGAATACAGGAATTTTAAAATATCTATTACAAAAATTAAGATTGCAAACATTATGAGCACAACCTCTATACTTACCTGTAAAATGACAATGGTCTCTAACTTTTCTATATTTCTCTTCTTCCTTGGCATTCTTATAGTTCATTCTAAACTTGTTTCGCGAAGCTGACGCATCGCTCAAGCGAAATGCGTCTCCACAAATAAAGCAGTTTTTAGCATTTTTAAAATCTTCTTTGTCTTCATCAGTCATATCTATTTTTTTGTTTTCTCCCATCTTCTCCTTTACTTCTGCCCTAATCTCATTAAGTTTTTGACAAAACACATCAACAGCATCTTTACCACGATACATAAATTCATAATTTGTATTATCAACAGCATTAACCATTTTAGCATAAAACCACATGGTTTATGCTCTTGATAAGAAAAAGTGTTTTTATCTTCATCTTCATCAGGTTTTTTCAGTTCCTCTGTCAAACATTCAAAATCAGCATATACAACAAAAGGACATCTTAACTTTTTGAAGTGATGCTTAAAACTAACTTTCTCATAAGGCTTAGGCATTACTATTTGTTGTCCATCAACTTCCATACATCCGCTATCATAATGTTTATTTAATAATTCTTCATTTCTAAATCCATGATTACAATATTTACAGAAATAGGACTTACCATTATGATTACTTTTTTGATTATTAATAAGTCTGCTCAAACTTTTTATATACACATAATGACTGCAATCCTCATCATCAACTCTTAACAAATCAAAATGAAAAGAAGCATCTTTATTTTTCAATTTTCTACTAATAACAATTTGTTCATTATCATCAATTTGATAAACATTAATGGATATTGATTTATTATGTTCTTCAAATATATCTATATCATTATTATTAGCAGGAAAACTCACACCATCAAAAATCAAATCACTTTCTATCTTCTTGTAATGAAA